TTCTCTTTTAAATTGTAGTATTGTTATAAGAGAACCATACGTTTCAGCCATCTGTAACCTGAATTTGATTTATACATCAGTGTGGCTCCATTCTTTTACAAATTATCTTTCAGCTCATTTGATTGTTTAATAAAGCACCATCCGAAGAAAAGCTTGCATTTTTCTACTTTCTTAGCACATCAACGTGTCTCAAAGCCTTTCAAAGATAATTACTGTCAAGTGTGGTGACTGTTTTTTTATATAGGCAAAAGAATAATGACCATTTTGGTAAAGTATCAATAATCCACAGAATCATATCCCAGTATAAGGAAGCAGGGATCCACTCCTCCAGATGAAGACGGAGAGGAGAGAATATTGGAGGAGAAAAATTGATGGAGACTATGATGAGAACTGACAGATCCAGTAATGTCTAATGAATCAGAATGGCCTGTGCAGATATGTCCAATTGTTAGAAGATAAAAATCAGTATCTATAATACAACAGATTTATGATTTCTTGATGAACATTTGTAAGCTTAGACTTAATGCTTCATTGCACTTCTTTGAGTAGAATGAACCGTACTGAAGCAAGATTGTTAAGGCTTTATAATTCTTAATAGCATAGTTTCTTGCTGAAATTTTAATGTGCTGTGGGTTGAGAGAGTGGGTGGCAATCAACTGTTTGGAACAGCTCAGTAAAGCCTCACTGTTACTGTGTAGAGGCTGTTGGCCCAGTAAAATCCGCAATTGCGACAGAGTCTATTTTGACTTTTTTTTCAACAATACGGGTATTTCAGAACTGTTTGGAAAGCAATGCCTTGGAGCAACAATCTGAAACAGCGACTGGAGTACTGAGTGTCACAGAGGGTTGATTTAATTCTGACATTCCATTGACAAGCAAGTCACTTTGGAGTCACCTCAGCCACAGGAAGCCCCCAATTACCTCCCCACCAAGGAAAATAGTCTCATGACTAGTTGGTCATTATTAGACATTTGACAAGTGCAGGTTTCAGCCCTTACTAACTGGATAGAGGATAACAGGAACTCCCTGTGAGCTTCCTGGTGAGCAGTACAGCTCAGTGTGAAATGCATGAGAGCATTGGCACCTCCTTCCTACCCACAGCTCAGACACACATCCCTATCTATTGAGTGATCGGTCCATCAGTTGGAATTGCACAGCTTCAGCAGCAGCTGTTTGCTTCTCTGTACGCCAATCAAGGTGGATATCAAGCCCTGGCTGTATGAGTGTGTGTTCATGAACCTGGCCTCCAGGTAATGCCTTTCAGCAGCTGTTGTTTCAAGCCTCAAAGCTTCCTCATCAGTTATTCGACACACATCTATCTTCAGCGTAGTGGAAGGACCCATTCCAATTCCACCTAACTTGGTCATGGACTTTGCAAATGGACCGCAGGAAAGCCTTCTGCTACATACCCAGGAGTTCATAACCATGACTGCTTTGGACACACATCGCAGAAGCTTTACCTGCATTGGGATCTTGCAATAATCGCGAAAAAATAAGAATAACCAGAATGTCCTTCACCCTTTCTCAGTGTGGTCCTTAAGGACAGTGTCTAAACGAACCTTGGTGTCTCTCACAACTCCATAGAAACTGATGTGAGGCATCAATTGGGATGGATTCCCCTTCTATCTTCCAATCAATGCCTTCAAGGTCACCTCTTTAGCCATGCAATCCCATAATACCGCACTTAGGGACAAAAATCATCATGTGCTATTGAGTGAGCCAGGATTGAAGAGTTTTCAAGATCCCCAAGAGAGTCCACCAACAGCGGAATATCATCTGCAAACAGAAGCACTGCAATTATATCAGAAATACCTGGAACAAGTACAACAAACACGTCCTTCTCAATGGCATCCAATACAACATTTCAAGAAGACTGAGTGTTTAGTACCAACTTCGATAAACCAAAAGAAACTTTGTTCGTTACCAAGAATTGCAAGCTTTCAAGTCATATAGTCCTGACAGTTTAATATTTGATGACGTTTGGTGATCTTGGAGCCCTCAATAGTTGCTTCCTGAATCTTGAGCAGAAACAGTACTCAGTGTCTAATAAAGGAGGCATAATTACTGAAAAACTAAGCACAACCTTATAATAACGGGGTTCTTATGGAGATGAGATCTTTTCACTGGTGGAATAATCTGCCCTACTGTGCCTCAATTGTGATCCGTATTTGTATAACAAAGCTTTTTGTAGGCAACATGTACAGCAGAATAAAACGCATCTAAAGATTAAATCCTTTTAGGTTTTGTTTCCCATTGAATCCCCCTGAAGCAACCGCCCATACACACTACTTACCAGTGTATAATTATTTAAAAGTTCAAAATGTTTTAAAATGGCTGGACGATATTGTTACGAGGTACCACAGACCATATAGTTAGGTTATGTACTGCAGCATATTTTATTTTACCTGGATACCCAGGGTTAAAGTACATTTTAGTTATTTCCTGATTTTTGTTTCCTTCAAAGAATAGAGGACAGGACACTGTTAGTTATAGTGTGATGCAAGCGACAAATCTAGTCTGGCAAAATCAGCAAAGGAAAGAAACATAGAAACTGCAGCACTGGTGAATCATCACAGAAGTGGTTAAACATATATTCGTACAATATCTTAACTGCGATGCAAATTGATCAGTGGGCAAACAAAACAACAGCTTAAATAAAACAGGGACGTGCGTGCACGGATTT